GCCCTCTCAGTCCTCCCCAGATACTCCTGCCTGGACCCTGAACTTGAACGCAGTGGTGCAAATATCAGGGCGGCCTCCTAGCCCCAGATCCGGCGGGGCTGGCAGCAGCTCAGGGGCGCCACCTAGCGCCCAGCAGGCGGCGGCGCCGGGAAAGTTCAGCGCTTCCCAACCCCCACTCCCAAAAAAGCGAAGGCGGGGAGGCTAGAAGCAACCCGCCCTCAGTGCCTGGAAAGCCGGGGAGGTGACCTGGAAAACAAGCTTAGGCGCAGCCTGAGACCCCTTTCTCTTTTGACATATATCCTTGAATCCATGTGTTCTTGTAACATGGTTATTCAACCCCTGAGATTTTAAATTCTTGCTTCTTTTCTCTTTCCTTCTTCATTACTTCTAGTGAAATAGTAGTTGCTGGGTTACATAGATGCAGGGTTTTCTTTGTCTTATGCAGCTCCTGAACGGGGGCAGTGGGGGGTGTTTGAAATATCCCCACCCCAATATTTGCTCATTCCATACCCCTTTCTTTCTTTTTACATTTTAATTTCCCGCTTTTCTTGAGCTGTAGTTGACGTGTAACACTGTATTGTCTTAGGTGTATGAGGCCATGATTTAATACGTGTAAATATTGCAAAATGATCACCACCCTAAGTCTAGCTAAGATCTGTCACCTTCACAAAGTTACAATTTTTCCCCTCTGTGATGAGCACCTGTAGGATCCGCTCTCCTGGCGGCTTTCAAGTAGATGAGACAGGGGTGCTGACGATAGCTGCCACGCTGCATGTCACCTCGAGGACTTACTAGTGTTCTACCTGGACGTTTGTCCCTCTGAGCTCTGACAGCTGTCCCCGTTTCTGGCCACCCGCCACCAGTCTGTCCCGTGCCGGTGGGTTCCGTATCCTTCCCAAACAACTGCAAAGAAAGGGAAAAGAAACCTGAGAAAGTAACAAGAGTTCTACTCTCCTTTGCTTGCGGACGGGGACCTGTAGTTTTTCCAGATTAAAGCGATCCTTTTACTGCAACATAATAATAATAAACTCACAAGGGATCGTAGAAATAGTACCAAGCGTCTGAGTCCGCATCATCCTGATATCCCCAAGGGTGACGTCTTGCAGCGTCGCAGTGCGACACCCCGGCCGGGACCTCGACCCTGGGACCCAGCTGGGAACTGGGCCACACGAGTTACTCAGGCTCCACCACGTAGGCGGATCTCAAGTGCAGACCTCGGGATCAACCGCTGCGATCAAGGTAGAGAATCGCCCCGTCACCGGGAAAGAACCCCTCTCCCCTCCCTCTTCTATTCACACCCCTCCTCCCACTTCCCTCCTCTCCATCTGGGGGGGTTTTCTCATGTTGAGGTGCCGTCCGAATGAAATGATACTGGAGGCGACACGTGGCGAACGGCTTCTTTCACTCCTTCACTGAGCAAATGCTTCACGAGGCCCATCCAGGTCGTTGTCTGTAGCAGCTCATTTCTTTTTACTGCCGACCAGTGTCCTGCGGTGCCCGAGTCTGTCCCGCGATGTCTCTGCTGAGGGACATTTGGGTCGTGTCCAGCCCGCCCTGGTGAACGCTCTACTGTGAGCAGGAGAGCGCAGGCTGCCGTGTGAACACGGGAATCCATATCTCTGGGCTGAATGCCCCCGGTATGATTGCCGGTCAGGCGGTAAGTGGTTTAGGGTTAGTTTTACTCATTTATCTAAAATAGAAATGAGAAATGCCAGGTGACAGGATGTGGTTTTGGAAACGGGCCCAGGACAGGGGCTCATGCAACGCGAGGTCACTCCTCTCAGGTGCGGTGACGAAGGGCAGACTCTCGCCCTGACTTGGAGAGCGGAGAGAACCGAAGAGGAGAGATCCGTGAGACAACTAATAGGCGTGCTCTGGGCAGCCGCCTGCCGCTGGCCACGCGTGTAGGATTCGGCCTCGACGAATCTCCAGTTGAGAACAACGTGTGGCGAATCGTGCCTTCTTAGCAAAGACAATGTTTTCTCCCATGATAACTTAGGGTTAAGTGTGTAATTGCTGCAATTTACATAAGCTAGGGTTGACTTCGAATGACGTATTATGGCCATGGGCATATTGATTGAATACTTATTTCCTTTTGGTGGGCAGAAAATGCTTTGTTTTATGGCTGCGCAGAACTGCCTGCTCTCTTGCTACATGACTCCTAGAAACAACCCAGGAAGCAGCCTGTCGTCTGGGCAACGGCTGAGGCTGGCTGGGGGTATAGGCGGCGGTCTTGGTGGACAGTGGTCCCCAGCAGGCCAAGCTAAGGCCTATCCTGCATTAGGTCACAAGTTAGGAAGCACAGGTAAGCACAGGTGGCTGCTGGTGGAGTGTGTCCATGGGGAATTTTTTAAAGGATTTTATTTATTTATTTTTAGAGAGGAGAAGGGTGGGAGAAAGAGAGGGAGGAAAACATCAATGTGTGGTTGTATCTTGTGCACCCCCTATGGGGGACCTGGCCCACAACCCAGGCATGTGCCCTGACTGGGAATCGAACCGGCGACCCTTTGGTTCACAGGCTGGTGCTCTATCCACTGAGCCACACTAGCCAGGCCCCATGGGGAAGGTTGAAGGACACCCAAAGGCCGAGGGGGATGGCAACAGAGGCTTGGTCCACAGGGCAACCTGGAGGGTTAGGCAAAGGCCACCGGCACCATCTCGATGACCTGCTCAGAGCCCCAGGAATTGATGGTTAACAGCCCTCCAGCAAGGACCCTTAAGCTGTAGAGGTTTGTCCTGTCTGTGCTGCCTTCAGGGCGGAAGGGCTGGCGGGCTGTTGTCAAGAAGTTCCGGCTCCCTGGCTGGCCAGGCGGGGCCATACCATCCCCCCAGACTTGAGGGCTGTCGGGGTCATAGAGGATCAGTCAGACTGTCGTGAGGATTCTAGGGTGCTGCTGTCCTGAGTCAGGGACTGGGCGCGGGTGGGACACCTGCTGGTCTTCTTTCTCCCACCTGAGGGCGGTAGAGAATGCTGGGGTCACATTCGGGCTTCCGGTCGGACCGGACTTCCAGCCCCTACAACAAGGTGACCGTCGAGGACAGCACCCCCAGGCTGCGCTGCTCTGTCTCTCTGGCCAGTGTCCCCACTGTGACCGTGGACGTCTGACGAGGGGGACTCCATCTTCCGCGACTGTGTGTCCTTTTGGACCCTGGGTTTGCATCCTGCTCAAAGCCAGGAGGGGCACCGAGAAAAGCCGTGGAAAGCAGACGCCAGGGACTAGAAGGGAAGTGGCCTCCTGCGAGGACCCGCGGTGACCCGGAGCTCATGAGAGGGAGACGTAACCTCTCTGGGGAGCTTGGGGATGCCTTCTCTGGGGGAGATGCAGGTTCTCTTGACATCTCATGGGGGGGGGTGTGGAGATGGTACTGTCGTAGCCAAAACCATGAGCAGGGCCAAGGGACAAAAACTGGACACAGCGGGGGAAGGGAGGGTATGAGGAGTAGGTGTCATTTGGAATTTGCGTTTCCTAAGCTGTCGGTTACTCTGTCACTCAACAAGCCCTGCGCTGGCCCTGGCCGGGCAGCTCAGTGGGTTAGAGCACTGGCCCGATACGCCAAGGTTGTGGGTTCAATGCCTGGTCAGAGCACATACAAGAATCAACTGATGAATGCGGCAATAAGTGGGACAACAAATCCCCCTCTCTCTCTGCTCCCCTCCCTCCCCCTCTCTAAAATCAATAATTTTTAAAAAAGCACTGCAGAGTGCCCCCTGCCTGCAGCACACAGTCACTGCGACAGAGTGTGAAGGTAGTAGGAGGCAGGGCCCTTGGGAGGGGCTTCGCCATGAGGGCAGAGCCTCCCAGGCAGGACTGGTGCTCTTACAGACTCTGGACAGCCCTCTCAGTCCTTGCGGACCGGCCCCTCACTCCTTCTGACGTGGGAGCGCACACAGAAGTGAGAAGCCTGCCAGCCAGGAGAGGGCCCTCCTGTGGCTTCGCTGGGGCCCGATCTTGGACTTCCAGCCTCGGGCACCGTGAGGGATGAGCTCCCGTTGATAAGCCCACTAGCCAGTGGTATTCTGTTAGAGCAGCCTGAAGGGACTAAGACGAGAGGGAGTCAATTTGATCAGTATCTTGTGTATCTGTCTTTTTTAAAAAAAGATCTTATGTATTTATTTCTAAAGAGAGGGGAAGGGAGAGAGAAAGAGAGGGAGAGAAACATCGACGTGAGAGACAAACATCGATCAGTTGCTTCCCATAAGTGCCCCAACCGGGGACCAAACCTGCAACCTAGGCATGCGCCCTGACTGGGGATCGAACCCGCTACATTTCAGTTGTGGGACAATGCCCAACCAACTGAGCCACACCGGTCAGGGCCGTAGGGTTTTTATAAATCAATATGAATATGTATATATACGCGCACTTCTAAATAAATGTATAGCCTCCTCTCTTTTATGAAAGGTAGCACACTGTGTCTATTGTCCTATACCTATTGTCTTTTTGTCCTTAGGTTTCTTCCCCGAATCAGTGCAGAGAGCGTCCTCATTCCTGTGTTTCTCTTAGGACCGCCTGGCACCGCCCTGCGCGGCTGTGCCGGAGTCTGTTCGGCTCTACAAGATCTCTCCCCCAGGTGGACGTTTGGGTCGTTTCCAGACTTTGCTGTTACTAAGTGCTGCCGTGACTCGCCGTGCACACATTGCTTTCCGTGTCTGTCGGTGGATCTCTGGGATCCACCCCTAGTCATCGGGTCCGTGTGTCGGCGGGGAACGGCGTGGGCGACTCTGCGAGGGCTTCCCATAGCGCCCCCCTGTGGCCGCACTGCTTCGCCCGCCCCTCGGTGACCCGGGGGCTTCCGTACAGGCTCCCAAGTGGTCGCGGTCCGTCTCAGACTTTCAAAACCGACCTGAGAGGTCAGGCGAGTATTGCGAGGGGCGCCGACTGCCTTAGCGATGGAGACCTCCCTGTCGGGTGGGGTGGACCGGAGTGGATGGAGGCCAAGGCCGTGGGTGCGTCTTGCCCACGGTGCCCCTCCCCCCGCAGGAAGCAGCACGTGGAGCTGAGCACTGAGAGGTTTATTATCTATCTCTGGGGCTGGGGTGGGGGCACAGGCTTCTAGTCAGGAGTTAGCTGGGGGCAGGGGACCCTTCACACAGGCATGTAGGTCCCGTTGAAGATAAGGGGGGGAGGGATCAAGCAGCGCCCCCTCTCCTCAGGGATCCAACGCTGGACGTAGTGGGGACCATTGACTCGAGGCCACACGACCACAGTGTTTTTGGATGCTGTGGACGGGTCCTCTGAGAAGAAGTTGAAGGGGCGGATGATGAAGCTCACAGAGTTTCCCGGGGTATCCGTGTTGGGGATGTCCTCTGCTTGGGGGATGTGCAGGAAGCCCAGCGTCACCCAGGCCACCAGATCCTGCGGGAGAGAGGGGCGGGCAGTGCTGAGGAAGCTGAGAGGAGAGGGGTGGGCAGCCCCCGCAAACCCCCCTGGTAAGGAATGGGCAGATCTGGTGATGAGCGCAGAGCCAGCCTGGGGCACGGCCGCAGTCTTCGTCTGGGGCTGGAAGAAGGAGGGGCCGTACCTCATTTCTAATGTTCTCGTTGTTGTGAAGAAACTCCTCAAAGACCACGGGCGGGTCCCAAGGGTCGTTCTGGTTATAGATGCTGCTGCTGTACAGCTCAGACTCCCGGTACTTGGTCACTGCCACGGGGTACCTGCCGGGCAGCGAAGCCAGGTGGCTCCGGGCACCGGGGGCTTCCCAGCCCCTCCCAGGGCACCGCTGCGGGGTCAGCGGTGTGTCTGTCCCCCGGCTGCGAAATTATCTCCTGGGAGACAGCCAGACTGACCGAGTGTCAGCCGGGGCTCCGGGGCTCAGAAAGGGCCTCCCCTCCCCCTCCCCGAACAGAGCCACGCCCTGGAAACCCACGCACATCCAGAAATGCTGCCACCCAGACTCAGAGTCTCACGGACAGAAACACGGACACACTGGACACGAAGATACAGGGAGGAGCCTCTAGCCCTGCTCAGCCTCCCGAGCCTCCTCACCTGGCCCAGGTGATGCCCTGCTCCTCCTTCCAGCCAGGGGCCAGCACCTGATGGGCCATGGAGTTCAGCTGCAGTCGGTAGCTGCGGTGGTGGCCCCACAGGTTCTTCTTGGGGCTGGAGAAGAGCAGGTGCTTGGGCAGAGGCCGTCCGAAGCGGAAGGCCGCCTGGCGCTCCTGGCGGTACCACGTCTGCTTTAGAGTCGGCTGCACCAGCCGGTCTTCCGGGCTCCAGGGGCAGGTGATGTTCTCCAGCTTCGTCTCCAGGCTCTGTAAGCTATTCTTGGTGCCTGCAGGTGGACCGGGGGACGCAGAATGAGAACCTGACACCCCGAAATGGCACACTCTCATTCTGTGCTGGGATCTCCGTCCCAGCTCACATCCAGCAGCGAACCTTCGGGGGCGAAGGGGGCCCTGGGGGCGGGGCGCAGGGAGCCAGCTGCGGGGCGGAAGGAGGAGGTTAAAAACAAAAACACAACAGAGGGACCAGAAGACAACTCCAGCTGATCGGTCACGGCGGCTGCAGTGATTCTGGCGTTGAGTCTGGGGAGTCCCTTTCGAGGCCTGCCTCCCAAACCCGCGGGCTGCACTGTGGTCCGCCAGAAGGGGCGGCCCTCTTCCCCAGGCGGGGCGCTGCCCACTGCCCTCCGCACCCAGGGGGTGCGAATGGGGCTGAGCCAGTGGGGGAGGGGAGGGGTGAGGAAGGGAAGCCACCTCTTTGGTCCTGGGGGCCTGCTGTGACACGTGATTTGGATGCCAGGCTAAATCCTGACACGATGCCTGTGCTGTGGGGACACCATTAACCCGGGACACACAGCAAGTGTTTTCGGTGATACCGCATTCATCGCCAAGTACCAGGCAGCAGCAACATGCCCTACACGCCCAGGCATTATCCTCTCCCCTACCCGGAGACCACTTTTCCACCCAGCCCCCAGCTAGGAAGTCCCCGGGGCCCCAGCGCAAGGACAGCGTCCCCGCTGCCACGTCCAAGGCAACACTGGGGCTCCGTTTGCTTGCCCCATTTTTCAGGGGCGCACAGCCGGCAGCTCTGCAGGTTTCAGAGGCAGGCTGGGCCCCCCTCCCCCCGAGCACATTCCTCCAGGGACTTGCACCGCCTCCCGCGAGTGGGAGTTAGCCCCCGGGCGGGGCCCTGTGGCCCGGCAGTGTCGGTCCTTACCTGCCACGTCCAGGTCGACGCGGTAGTGCACTAAGTGAGTGTGTATGTTGCCCAGCAAGTGTGTGTGCATGCGGGTCCCGTAGCGCAGCCCCTCGGGGGTGTAGAAGGTGGCGTGGACATAGCCTGAGGCGGATACCTTGGCCTCCATCACCCCGTTGGAGTAGAAGATAAAGTCCCAAATGTAGTCATAGTTGTAGACGGTGGAAGTCGTTCGCAGCACCAGCACCTGGCCCTCCAAGCCCCCGTAGAAGTTGAAGCCGCCATTGAAGTTGGAGTCAAAGTGACGCCGCAGGGGCAACCCCGTGGGCATCTCGAAGAGGCAGAGGGCTCGGGGGTAGCGGGTGGGGCCGTCGGAATCGTAGTAGTGGAAGGCGTCCAGGAAGGTGGCGGTGCTCGGGCAGTCGATGCCGGGGGCCAGCTCGTGGTTGACGGTGCCCAAGCCCCAGCCCAGGTCGAGGTACTTGGTCTGCATGCCCGCAGGTGTGTGGCCCCCGTACAGAGCCACCGCCTCCTGGATGCTCACCTCGTAGGCAATGCGCTCTCCGCCGAACTGCAGGTTCATGATCTGCAGCCCCGTGGAGGAGCGCAGCCGGAAGGCGAAGCTCCACCCGCCGTAGAGCACCGCGTTGCCCTCCAGCTTGTAGCGGGGGCCTTCGGGGTTGATCAGGCGGGGGCCGTTCACGGAGAGCGGGCTGGAGAATTCCCCCCGCGGCTTGTAGGAGGAGAAGAGGGGCTGCTCCTCCGTGCCCTCTGCCCCGCTGCCCTTGGCGAACGGGTCCTCCAGGATCACAGCGTCCACCTGCCCTTCCTCGTACTTCTGAGCCAGTTCTTCTGGGCTTCGGTAGAACTTCCCGTTGTACCAGACCTGCTCCACCGTCCAGTCCTCGGGATTCATGCTTTCGTGGTTCATGAGGAGCTCCAGCCCAGTGGGGTGCAGGAAGTAGCCTTCCACGGAGAGCTGCAGGATGAACCAGGAGCGGCGCTGGCCCGAGGCAAGGCCCCGAGGGGCCACGTCTGTGAACGTCAGGCATCGGTTCTCACAGTTGTGGAAGGAGAAGCCTGTGGTGTTAATGAAAAATTGGTGCAGGGGCCTGGTGACCTTCTGCAGGGCTTGGCTCAGGAGGGTAGTCTCCACCGAGGACATGGGCCTGGAGGTCCAGGACACCCGGTGCCCAGGCCTGGGGTGCAGCCTGCGCATATAGTGGGGCTGTGGCAGGGGCCCCACAACAAACTCGGTGATGTTGGGGTGCTCCTGGGCTCCGAAGAAGATGACGGCACGTGCCTCCCGGACGGGAAGCCTATGCCCGTGGTCCAGGAATTTCAGCACCCTGTGCTTCTTGGGCAGCAGCATCTCGATGAGGAACACGGAGTTCTTGGCCATGGTCAGCGTGCTGGAGGGCGCCAGCCTCAGCTCCTCCCGGGACCAGAGGAAGTCGTGCACAGCCTTCAGCTCTTTGACGCTCAGGTCCGCGAATACCGCGGCCTTGCTGCGCGGGGTCCCCCGGGCGGGCTTCGCCACGGCCAGCGCCTGCAGCAGCAGGACGGCGGCCGCGGCTGTGCCGAGGGCCAGGGTCTCTCGCCTCATGGCTCTAGAATACAGAAGAGATGAATTCAGTTGTTCTACGGGAGGACATGGGTGTCCACTAGACGGGGCGGGGATCCGCGAAGTCCCTTGGCCTGTAGTTTTCCTAGGCACAGCTCCCCCCGACCAACCAGCCAGGGGCCACCCTGGGGGAGCGGGGGCCCCACACGGCGCGGACCTGCGCTCTCCTCGCTCGTCTGTAAGCCTCGTGCAGCGCTGCAGGTTTTCCGCCCTGCCTCACCCCCCCATGGCCCCGTGGCTGTGCGCTACGTCAGCCCCGCTGCACCTCCCCCTGCACGGTGCTCAGCCAGGGCCTGGGACTCAGGGCGCCCTCTCCAAATGCCACTGAGCACTTCTTGTGTCCTGGGGTGGATGATACAGGGGTGCTGCGATACATCGTAAACCCCTCCCTGGGCAAGGTCACGCGGCAGTTGCGGCCCAGGCCTACGGCTTCTTTAGTGAAAGGTGTTTAAGCGGGCCTTGCCCCGTGTGCTCATCCGCTCAGATGAAGACACCTTTGAAAAGCAAGAGTGAGCCTCTTTTTCACCACCTCGGAGGGGTAACCAGCCTCCCGAGAGCACTCCATCTTGCCAATGGAACCCTGCCCTTGCTTTCTCGCATCCCCCAGTAATCCTCCTTAATTCCAGGTGTCTAGCTGAAACCACGAACAGTCATTCTCGGCAGCATTTGAGATCCTGCGTCCTGTCCCTCGTCATCAGATGAACCCCAACAAAAATCATCCACAGGTTTCTATATGCCGTACGTCGACACGGCTCTTAATGGCAGGACTACATGGTGGAGAGAGCAGAGTATTTTTTCACGGAGGTAAAATCTGCATGTGAAGGGCAGAAGGTCAAAGAGGGGGCACTGCAGCCAGGCTGCCCGGGCTCCTGTGCTCGTGTGTCCTGCCCCTACGGGACCAGACGTGTGGCCTTGGGCAGGTCGCTTCAACTCTCTGGACCTCTGTTTCCTCAAGGGAAATAAAAACCATAGTCCCTACTTCCCAGGGCGGCTGCGAGACACTGATTGGACAATAGGACGCGGTGCTTGGAACCTGCTTCCCTCCTGGGGAGCGCTTGAGAGCCCCCGGCCGCCCTTCTTTCTACAGCGGACTCTGCGCAGCTGCTCACTGACGCCAGAAGATTTAAAATGTAAGCAAGGGAGACCGATTTGGCTGAGATTAGGTGGTAAGCCTGGGGCTCCGACGGGGAGGACCAGGTGGCCAGTCCTGCGCCAGCCACTTTGCCCCTCTTGTGGGGCACACGGGCTACAGCTGCTTGACCCTCCAAGGCTCCCAGGAGGGCACCTCCAGGTGGGGCCACCCTAAGGGGTGATGCAGGCAGGTGCCCTTTCCCCTTCCATTTTGGGTGTGGGCGTGGTCAGAGTCTTCACATCATAGCCTGTCCCCCGCAAGCGGCCACAGCAGCCCCCCTGCAGTGCCAAGGCCGGAGACTCACTTGATTTTGTGCTGTCCAGCCTGAACCGACAGGCGAGACCTAGGGACATCGGGCAAAGCCAGAGCCAGCAGAGAGATCTGGGGTGAGCTCTGTTTTACTGTCCAATTGTGGTTCAGCCTCTCTTTATCTATTTCCTTTTAAATAGCCTTTACTTTTTAGAGCAGTTGTAGGTTCACCGCAAAATTGGGCAGAAGGCACAGAGATTCCCCCTCTATCCCCTACCCGCCCCCCACCCCCCACGCCCAGCTTTGCCCATTACCAGCAGCTGCTGCCGGAGGGGAGCGTTTGTCACAATCCACGAGCCTACACGGACATGCCACCATCACCCCAAGGCCATGGCTGACCTTAGAGGCCTCTCTTGGTGTTGCGCACTCTCTGGGCTGCACAGACGTATGACGACATGCACTCCCTGTTAGAGTCTTGTCACTGTGCTGACCTTCCTCTTTGCTCAGCTGTTCGCCTCCCCGCCCCCGGCCCAGCCCCCCCCGCCCCAGGCAACCCCAGGTCTCCACTCTCCTGCCTCCTCCAGGCGGCACAGGGCTGGGCTCGCCCCGTCTGCTGCCTTTTCAGACAGGCCCCTTTCAGCCAGGAGCACCCACGCAAGCTCCTCCACGCGTTTCCCCGGATATTGTTCTGCTCTGGAGAGGACTTGGCTAGTCCTTTAAGCTTATCTTCCCCGGGACAGGCCCGTGTCCAGGCTCTAAGCAGGCGGCTGGTGAGCGGACGATGGCAGGGACCCTGGCAGCCAGTCTGCACATCCACCTCCTCTCTGCGCCTTTTCTGTCGGGCCCCTGAGTGGCGGGCTGCGCTTTTCGGTCCTCCCTCTTGTGTGCTCTTCGTTTCTCCTGGCCCCTCACTCCAAACCTTTCTCCCCGCCCCCCACCCCAGCCACCTCCTTCTCCACACTCCCCGTGTCTCATCGGAGAATACCTGTGCGCTCTGCTCTGCTCACCTCTCCTCCGCCGTCAGTCTTCGCCCCGTCTCTTCCTGGAGCTTTAAGGCTCCCTGGGGCCCGCCCTGGAGGGAGGGGCAGGGTGAGGGCGGGGCCAGCCAAGGTGGGGCTCAGGGGGCACAGGGGCCTCCACTGCGGGCGGGGGTGGGCGCCGATGACTGATGAGGGGCTCTGGTTTCCGGGGAACCCACGTTGGGAAACGCCCCCGTCCTCCCCCGCTTCACAGCCCCATTCTCGCCTATTTGTCCCAACCGCACACACGTCCTAGGTGTGTTTTCTATCACTCAGCAAACTCTGAGGTGCCCTAATCTATTAAGGTAAATATTGAGTTTCAGAGGCCGGAGATAAGGACCGGGGGACGTTTACTAGCAAGCAGTCCCGGCTCACGGCCGGCCGCGCGGCGAGGGCGAGGGGCTGGCTGAGGCGGGCACCCGCATCAGAAGCCGGGAATTTATTTGTCTGGTTTTCGCTTTTGAGCGGGTGTGACTCTGTGCCAGTAACACTTCGTTCGTGGACATGGAAGTGCCAATTTCGCATAACTTTTACGTGTCCCGAAACTTCGTCCTCCTTTTGATTTCTTTCACTGAGCCACGCTGGCCAGGGCTGCCCCCGCTCTTTTGCCCAGTTCACCCCGCTCTTTCCCTGCTCTCCGCGCTCGGGTCTGCGCACTGGCCCCCAATGCTCAAGTTGACCTCGATTTCTGAGGTGTGATTTCTCCCTTCGTGGGGTTAATGATTGGTAGGTAGCTGTTACAGGGAGCACTTGGACAAAGATTGTGCCCTTTAACTTCTGGGCTGTCTGCCCTTTTTAAAGGAGCAGGCCCGGAGGCCTTGGGTGCGAACAGGTTGAATACCACAAGGACGCCCCGTGTGCGGGAGGAGCAGCGTCATCCGTGACGATCAATTCCGTGCCTGGGTTCCCGTCCAGAGACTGCAGCTCGCGGCTTCCCCGCGGCTCGACTTTGGTATTTCGTTTTCATGATGCCACAGCACATCGGAGGTCATGGATTAGATCTAGAAAGCAAGACTGTGTTCACGGAAGCACAGAGAGCAACGGCTCCCACGGGGGCCTGGGCGTGGGCGCGAGAAGTCCCTCAGTTAAATCTCCAGGCTGAACAAGCCAGTATCACGGCTTTCATCGCCGATGAGGAAGGGCCGGTTTACAAAGAGAAACCCCTGCTCTTTTTCCCAAGGCAGGGCCTCTGGTCCCCAGGGGCCCAGGCGGTGCGGATGTTTCGAGCCCAATAGCTCTTCGCTGCGGGGCTGCCCCTTCTGCATCCCATGACGTGGAGCAGCATCCGCGGCCTCTGCCCACTAGATGCCAGCAGGACCCCACGCCTGCCGCCCCCCCCGCACGCGTTTCATTCACTTTATGGCTGAGTCACATCCCCTTGTATATGTGCACAACTTCTTCTCTTTTAAGAGACTTTATTTACTTATTTTTAGACCGAGGGGAAGGGTGGGAGAAAGAGAGGGAGCGTAACATCGATGTGGGAGAGAAACATCGATCAGCGGTCCCCAGCCCAGGTATGTGCTCTGATCGGGAATCGAACCAGTGACCTTTCTGTTTGCGGGATGACGCCCAAGCCGCTGAGCCACACGGGTCAGGGTTGCACCACTTCTTTATCCATGCCCTATCAATGAACACTTCGGTTGCTTCCATATTTTGGCTATTGTAAATAATGCTGCAATGAACACAGGAAAACATAGATCTTTAGGAATAGTGCTTTTGTTTGCTTCCGATCCATACCCCGAAGTGCACAGGCTGGGTTGTATGGCAGTTCTATTTTTCATGTTTTGAGGAATCTCCATACTGATTTCCAGGGTGGCTGCACCAATCTGTACTCCCACTAACAGGGCCCAAGGGTTCCCTTTTCTCTGCACCCTCACCGGCATTTGCTATCGTTGTTGATTTTTTTTTTTTTTATGACAGTCATTTGGTGTTCACACGTCTGTCTCTTCTACCGCTTCCTGGAAGACGGGAAATATATTTTCATTTCTTTAAATATACAGGGACCAGTGCACAGTGTGGGTCCTTATGCTTTGTTTTCGGAGTCGAAGAATGAAAAGACCGTGTAGATGAAGGAAGTTAGAGAGGTCGGTGATGTGGGCTGTGAACGAATTCACAAAGAGAAGAAAGCGTAGAGAGTAAAGTTTTTATGCTGGGGTGTTGAAGCCGAGGCTGCAGTTTGTTCCGATGTTACCTTCTGCCTGCGGTTGCAAGGGGCAGTTCTGTTCTTGCTCCCAGCAATTTCTGAGCCGAGGGGCATTGAGCTTAGATGAGTAAAAGGGCAGTCATGTTCAATGAGGTCGCAGGCCTGCTAGGCACATGGTGGCCAAGGAGCAAAAGGGGCTGGCTTTGTCCTTTCAAGGGAGATGAAAGAAATGTCAGGAACCCACATGTCAGAAGAGTTTTGATTAATTGTTGTGTGGCATTCTAAAAACAAACAAACAAACATACTTGAAAGCAAACTTCAACCGGTTGTTCACCAGCTTTATTTACTTAATTGACTTACACCATTGTGTATGTTGAAGGTGTGGAATGTGTTGATCTTATACATTTACATATTGAATTTGACTGCTGCTGTCGCATTGGCCAGCACTGCCATCTTGTCACGTGATTACCCTTTCTTTTTCATGGTGAGAACATTTAAGATTTATCCTCTTAGAAACTTTCAAGTGTTTCACACAGCACTGTTATCTACAACCACAAAGCTGTGCTTTCGGTCCCCAGAACCTATTCATCTCTAACTGGAAGGCTGTACTCTTTGACCAGCGTCTCCCTATTTCTGCCACCCTCCAACCCCTGGTCACCACCGTTCTACTCTTCCTTTCCACAAGTTTTGCTTTTTAAACTCCATACATAAGCGAGGTCATGCAGCATTTGTCTCTCTCTGACCTGTTTCACTTAGTGTAATGCCTTTGAGGCCCTTCTGTGCGGTTGTAAAGGCAGGATTTCCTCCTTTCTCCTGTCCTAACACCATTCCAGTGCATAAGCTGCATTTTCCTTATCCAGTCGCCTGCTGAGGGACAATCAGCAGGTTTCCCTAGTGTGGCTATTGCGATATTGCTGCTGTTATCGAACAAAAGGACCCGTGAGGGAGAGGGGTGCCCAGAGGCAATTACTGAAACGACACCCCTCTTCCCTGGGGTCCCTCGGTTGTAGGTCCTTTCCCCGGCGCCCTTGGAATTATGGCTCTGAACAGCAGAGTTTGGTGAACAGGAAAGGAATTATTTATTCAAAGGTTATACAGTTTTGATTAATGGCTAAATGTCGCCCTTAAATCTCAAAATCCCCTTAAAACAACCACCAGCACACACACAGTCCTGCCTTCCCCCCTTTGCCCAGTCAGGCCTGCCAGGGGCACCGTCCTTCAGAAGCGAAAGAACAGAAGTCCGGGCTCGGCCAGGCAGGCCCCTTGCGGTTCTCAGCACCATCCGCCACGTCGCCGCGATCTCCAGCTCTTAGTCCATAACCCTGGGGCACCTGCTCATGGCCCACGAGCAAGAGTCCGTTCTCCCCTCTTTCTTCCCGCGTGGGCTTCACACTGTTCTCCCGAGTCTGTGTGCCTTTTTCTCTCCCGCAGGCGCCTGTCTCTCCTCCTCCTCTCCAGTTACATTCTGTATTAATTCTTTTAAATCTTCCTGAGTAGCTTCGGTGACAGGCAAAATAACCCTTTTTGCATTATGAGGACTGAAGCTATCCTGTTATTGACATGCAGAATGCCTCTCAATGGCCCTGCTCAAGGCTCCCATCCCTCATGGCAGCCCGCCCTGGGGTGGGGAGAATATAGTTTTCTTGGACACCCCAATCTCCGGCCCCATTACAAACACCCTTGGTGGGGGGGTGCCCTGGATGTGCCCGGTCACACTGCCACGAACACAGGAGCGCACATAACTCCTTCGGGCCCTATTTTCATTCCCTTCGGAAATACACTCAGAAGTGTGATTGCTGGGTCATAAAGCAGTTCTACTTTTAATTTTTTTTGAGGACCCTCCATACTGCTTCCATAGTGGCTACATTAATTTACATTCCCATTAACAGTGCAAGACGGTCTCCCTTTTCTCCACACCTTCATCAACACGTAGCTCGTGCCTTTTTGAGCACAGACAGGCCCACAGGTGTGAGGTGCTATCTGACTGGGGCGTTGATTCACATCCCATGGTGACCAGTGACGCTGACCACCTTCCCCACGCCCGCTGGCCATACCTTCTCTGGAAAAATGCCTATGCAGTTCCCCTGCCTGTTACTTAATCAGATTGGTTTTTGTTGTTGTTGTTGTTGTTATTGAGTTCTATGCGTTCTTGACATGTTTTTGATAATTAACCCTTTATCAGGTATATGACCTGCAAATATTTTCTCCCATTCTTTTTAAGTTGCCTTTTTGTGTGTGTGGTTTCTTTTGCTGCGCAGGCTTTTAGTTGGATACGGTCCTTCAACGAGGTCCCTGTTCATTAAGGTGGCCACGTAGCTGGGGTGTTGGGTGATCGAATCGGGGACAGGTCTTTCTGTGGTGTCACAGGCCCCTTGGGCAAGGACAGGCCAGGGTGGTGTGAGGCAGCCCGGCTGCTGGGCGCAGGACCAGCGTGGTCTCCCAGGCCGCACGTTCAGCAGGGCCTCCTGTTTAATGTTCTATTGGCACTGTCTTAAAGTCCCTAACTTCTGAATGAGGGGCCCCCCATTTCCGTCTGCCACTGCGCTCTGCAGCTTAGGTAGGGGGTTCTGGCTTTAGGAGGTCATGGGGGGCGGGGGCGGGGAGAGAGGGGAGGGCAGGCAGGCCAGCGCAAGCGGGGGGCGGGGCGGGGGAGGGTGAAGGTCGATGAAGCCGGGTGATGACAGGAAGGGGTGAGGCTGATGGCAGAGGGGCCTAGGCCAGGGATGTGGGGACAGGCTGCAGGCAGGTGGGGGGCAGCAACAAAAAGGTAACAAGTAACCGAGGCCAGCGGACTCTGGGCACGGTCCTGCCGCCTCCTCTTCCTCATCTTTGGTTTGCCCTTTTAGCCCTGTTCCCTATCCAAGGACGCTGCCCCG